CTTGTGTCCCTAGAATCTATTTCCTTCAGTCCTGTGGTTTTCAGCAAACTTTTATATACATTGATCATTTTAGGTGATGATTATGGGAAACTGGCAATGTATTTGTAGAAGACTGACAGATTTAGAAAACTGGGAATGTATGAGAAAACTGTAAGGAGCTTTGACTTTCAACCATGAGAGTGTAAAAGTAAAGTAAAAAAGAAGAGGCATGTGAGAATTAGGACTTGCTACAAAGTGAAATGTCCTACCTTTTGAAACTGCACATTTAAGTTTTCTGTGTAAAAGGACTATAAAATATTATTGCTAAAAGTCTTTCTTAAAATGGTCTTCATCTACTCGGGATTTTTTTTTCCCCTAATTTTAGGACTCTTCACCTACTTTCTCCTGTGTTTTATCCTGAATTGGCCTTTAGCAAATATATAAATCATTAATCGCAGAGGGCCTTACTGGTCACCCTTTGTATGGAGTGTATATCTCTTAAGCACTTATACTTTATGATGTGCTTCCTTGAGTCCTTGTTAGCTAAAATCCTTTCACAACACCAACAGATTTTGCTGGACCATAGAATAATAGTCTTTCTCATTCCATGTCCGGTATTGTATTTTATTGTTTGATCATTTATTTTGCTGTGGAAAGATGATTTTTTATTGAATGTTAATTTCTGTTTGTTTTACTGTTTAATAAGTTGTGTCATGATTTGAAATCCATTACATAAATAAATTGTCCTCAGGTGATTAAGTAGAATAAGACCATACCCACAGCTATATGAAAGAATATAACTGGACTAGTAGAAAAATAAGACCTGCTTTCAGAATATGAATTTGTTCTTAGACCCCATTTAGTAAAATTTTAAAATGCCTCAGTTCCAGGGTGGGGGAGATGAGGGTACTGCATGCTATAAAGTTAGACTAGAATCTAAGGGTTGCCTGATACTTGGGGAATAACATTGCAATTTACCATTTTCATCTGCATATCATGAAAACCTACGTATGTTTCTCTCTGATGACTATGCTTTGAAGTAGTAAAATATGTGTGTCTTCAACAAGTGCAGAAGTGTGATTTATTAAAATCCAGCATTGAAATTAATTTATGAATCTCCTATATTTAGATTGCTTTGATCTCAGAAACAGAATGTTTGCTTCTACTTTTGTCTTACTGGAAGTGACTTCATAATATTTGCATCGTATTTTCCCACACAGATATTCAGTATGAATATCATATTTTTACCATTGTTTCTTGTAATTCTGCTCTTCCAGTCTTCATCTTGCAATTTTAAGTATTACTTTCTCTCTTGTTACATCTTTCCCCGGTGTTTTATGTGTAAGGCAGCGGTCATTATCCTTATAGCTTATCTCTAACTCTAATTCTGTTTTGTTCTTCTCAAACAATAAAAGAGACAGGAACTTGGCCATATATATCTGACTGTATCCTACACATATTCTGTAAGTTGAATGATATTTAAAAACAAGTTGAAAATGGATTGAATAAATAACACTATCTCATACATCTGATGTATTTCCTGTATATGTTACATTACAAATACTTAAATTAGTGAATCCATAGACCTTACTTAGAGTGAAAATTTTTTAAGTGCTACATCTGACAAATGTAAAGTATTTCATTGATTTTGTTTGTTTGCAAAAAATTGTTCTTATACAATTTGCTTGTTCTTTTTTTTTTTTTAAAGATTTATTTATTTATTGGAAAGTCAGATATACAGAGAGGAGGAGAGACAGAGAGGAAGATCTTCCATCCAATGATTCAATCCCCAAGTAAGCGCAACGGCCGGTGCTATGCTGATCCAGAGCCAGGATCCAGGAACTTCTTCCAGGTATCCCACACAGGTGCAGGGTCCCAAGGTTTTGGGCCATCCTCCACTGTTTTCCCAGGCCACAAGCAGGGAGCTGGATGGGAAGCGGGGCTGCCAGGATTAGAACCGGCGCCCATATGGGATCCTGGCGCATTCAAGGCAAGGACTTTAGCTGCTAGGCCACACCACCGGGCCCAATTTACTTGTTCTTTTACAAGCAAAAGGAAATAGGCTTCACCAAAATTCTAAAAATTGAATAATTTCTGGACCCAAATTAAAATGAATTCTATGTTTAAAACATGATTTACTCTATCATTATATATGTTATTTACACTGCATGGTAATAAATTTCTTAGTAAAATGTTTCACCTTATGATATTAAAATGTTTAAAAAGATATTATATTGAAACCTGGTAATGAATTTTAATCAAAAAGGCCCAGGTTTAAATGCCTGCTCAGCCATTTACAAGATTGTCTGTCTGGTAAGCATCTTTTTTTAGGTTCCTCATTTGAAGCAGAAATCATAAGACCTCTTTGACAGATTGGATTATTAAAGAACCAATGCATGTAGTATGTGTAGTATGGCTCTGAATATATGACAAAAACTTAATAAATTGTCTTAATATTATTAGTCAACGAACAGTTTTTTTTTATTAAGTACCTGCTTTGTGCTAGTTACCATTTTCTGATTGGAGATAATGCAGTGAGTTACACAATGAAAGACCATTGCCTTATTTTAATTTATATTAGGTGAAAATATCTCAAATAATAAGGAAGTAAAAAGTATGGTTAGGAGGCAAAGGGTCACTACTATTATGATGGTGATTATTATTATGATTATTTTACTTTATAAAGAAGCCTGGGGTAGGTACTTGATGAGCAGTTAAGATATTACTTGGGATACCTGCAGTGCTGGTTGGAATAGCTGGGCTCGCATCCTGCTTCTATTTCCTCCTTTAGTCCATGCCTGGATGGAGTTCTGAGCTACTGACTCCTCTTTGGCCCATCCCTAGCTTCTGTGGACAGTTGGAGTGAGACGCAGTAGAAGAAAGAGATCTCTATCTGACTATGTTTGTCTGTCTCCTCTTTTGCTTCGCAAATAAAAATTAAAATAAGCAATTCTAAAGACCCTGTTAATACCTCAGAACACTTCTAGAAATTTTTATCTTTGATTAGATTTATTTCATCAATTTGCACATTTGGATATTCAGAATAGGCATAGCAGATACTTATTGAACAGTTTCCATATAAATGCTAAACTTTGTAAGAATATCAAAGCTTATATGCTCTAAAACATTTCTGATTACCTTGGGAAGATATTCCTGACATATGAAAAAAAATCAGTGAAGCAGTTTTAAAAAAATTATTAAATATGTGTCAGGCATTATGCCACAGAAGCTTATGGTACTGTTTGTAACCCTGCTATTCCATAGTGGAGCACTGGTTCAAATCTGAACTCCGTGCTAATGTGCCTGGGAGATGGTTCAGGTCCTTGGGAGATTCCTGGATTCTGACTCAGACTTGCCAAGCGCTAACCATTGTGGCATTTCGGGAAAATTAGGAGAGTGAATCAGCTAATCTCTTTCTCTCTCTCCTTCTCTGCCTTCTGTGTCTTTCAAAAAATAAAAACATAAACAAAACTTTTGCAAGCAAGAATTTTAGTAATTTTAATAATGTTGTATTAGTGTGGACACAAGGTTAAAATACTAAATATGTATGAATGTAATGGAAAATTTTTTGATCAATGAAATTCACTTTGTGTGGCTGCTATTTTTTAACTCCCAGTATCTTCAAGCTTTTCTCATAACACGGAAATTTCAAAAGGCATATTATTTTTGTAGGTAAATTTTTAAGATGTATTTATTTTTATAAGAAAGACAAATTTACACAGAGAGAAAGAAATGACCCCAATGGCCGAAGCTTAGCTGATCCAGAAATCAGGAGCCAGGAGCTTCTTCCAGGTCTCTCACACAGGTACAGCATCCCAAAGATTTGGACCATCCTCCAGTGCTTTCCCAGGCCATAAACAGAGAGCTGGATGGGGAGAAGTGTAGCAGTTAGGAAATGAATCAGCAATATGGGATATGACTCTTGGATGTAAAGAATTAGCCAGTTGAGCTATTGCACTGGCCTCTTCAGGTAAAATTTTTAGGAAGACTTTTCTAGTTGCAGTTTTTGTCACTGATTCTGACATCATAAATCTTTCTCTGAAGTATTTTCTATCTGAAAGCAAGTGAAAGATGTCAAATACTTAAGAAAGTCCCAATTTGTTTTTTTTTTAAATCTGTAGAGCGTCTTACTTTTTGTGTTTTAGTTGCAAAGTATATAAAAACTAGGATAATCTTGCCTTGAAAGTTATGTAAGAAGGCAGGCATTTGTGCAGTGGTGAAGACGCCGTTGGGATGCCCACATCCTTGACAGTTGCCTGATTCCATTACTGGTTCCACTTGCAATTCAGCTTCCTGCTCATGTGCACCCTGGGTGACAGCAGACGCTGAGGTTCCTGGAGACGTACAGAAGTCAGAGCTCTTTGATTTAGCTTGGTTGCTATGAGCTTTTGAGAAGTGAATCAGCAAACAGATTTTTCTCTCTCTTTCTCTGCCTCTGCATTAAATTAAGGCAAGTAAGTAATTTTTTTAGGTTTAAAAAAAGTAATTCTGTGCTCGCTTCAGCAGCACATATATTTTAAAAAAGTAACTCTGAGACATACCTTAGGCTTGAGTTCACTTTGCTTGTAATGTTTAATATTTTATTGTCATGTATTTTTCCATTATATTTTTAAGCTTTTTACCTCATTTCGGTGGTTTCCCATTTCTGATTCAAAGGAATCAATTTTTGTTTGCTGTTTTTTATATATCATCACTGTCATTCGCATACTTTAATGAAATGGGGAGGAGAGAGCAATGAATCAGTCCTACTTTACAATTGACTACTGACCATGACTTTTTTTTTAGTTTGTGATTCATTTTTTTTTAAAATACACTGTGTAAGATAGAAATTGTCTTGGAAATCAGTGATGTTTCAGCAGAAAGAGGAGTGTACTCTAGCCTTAGGTTTAAAATAGGGATTTCAAGATATTTTGCAAGTTAAGATTACATAAAGATTTGATTTGGTAGGTTAAAAACTATATTGCTTTAATTTGAAAATTTAAATATCATATGCATCATCATATCCACGATTTTATTCGTAGGCAATGAAAACTACAAACAAATAGCAATGTGCGTTCTTTACCACATCAGCATGGATGACCGCTTTAAATCAATGTTTGCATACACTGACTGTATACCTCAGGTAAGTGGATTAAGTGCTCCGAGACAAGCATGTAAGAAATACATACATTTTACCATTTTCTCTAGATTTCTCAGGTATTATCTGTAGAAAGATGCAAATATGTTTCTGTTATCTCAGACGCAGAGGAAGCATTTGACATGTGATGCACTCCCTTCTTTGTCCTTAAAAGCTAGTAATGCACTGGAATGATATTGCATGTATTATTCTACAAATTGCCTTATTTATTTAATAGGTCATTAGTTTATTCATGGCATCGAATAGTCTTTAAAACTTTTAAGGCATGTATAATATTCTGTTTGTACCATAATTTAAATACTACTAAATAGAATGTTAACATTTTCCAGTTTATCACATTTAAACATACATAAGCAAATGCAGGCAAATAAAAATAGTGTGAATATTAATGTGGAATGGAGATTCTGTTATGAATGCTTATCTACACCTCTTAATTTCTCTATACTTAGAATTTCAAAAAAGTAGAATATTTTAAAACGTGTGAATATTTTTGTCATTGACACAATTTTACCAAATCATCTTTTTAAGACGGTATAAATTTATATTTCCAACTAGCATTTCAGTTTTAATATTACTAAACTTTATCATTTCTGTAAAAGATGTAATGTTTCAATGTTCTCTTTGTTTGCACTTTATAAATATTGATGAGACTTAACATTATGTTTCCCATTTTCTAAGCTCCACTTTTCTATTGACACATTAAGCTTTTTATATTCATAAGAAAATCAATGTGTATAATACCTTTACACTGTCAGGTTATAAATATTTTCTAAGATTATCATGTGACTTTTAGTTCATTGATGATTAATTATATTAATTTGTATTTCTAATAGTAAAGCATTTCATCAGGTTTTTTGTCTTCATAGCACATATGTAAAAATAGATCTATAAATATACACATATAATGCATGGTCTTTTACACCTAAGGAATGTTTATCTATAGATTTGCTATTGTTTCACTAATCATTTTTAAGCCAATTTAAGCATCTGATAATTGGCTAAGCCGCTTTTCAGTGTGACCTCTTTTTTTTATAAAATGGTTATCTAAAAAAGTAGATAAAGTAAAAATTGCAACATATATAATACAAAATAACAAAAAATGCAGGAAAAATATGATTTAAGGTCTAGAAGCATGTTAATTCATACTCAAATCTTTCCCTTAAGACTCTTAATAGACATTTCTTTCGTAGCCTAAGATGAATTACTGATTGTGTTACCTGAAAAATAATATACCATGTAAAATATACCAGTAAGAATATACCGGTACTTCCGTTTCTTGACTCTGGCCATCCATGCTATTCATCCCAAGGTAGTAAGATAGCGCTCAATTGAATTCACTACTCCTGAATTTTAAAAGGAATTTAAAAATTGTTAAAACCTAAAGAACAGTTTCTTATCATTTCACATATGGAATAAACTGATAATGCTTGTTTATAGAAAATAGGCATCCCTTGAAAAAATATGCAGCACATCTCTGACAAAACAGGGCTTCTTCTAGAGATAACGCGTGTCAGGCTGCAGCCAATGCAAAGTGTGATCAAACTCTTTGTCAAACAAGTTCTCAATAAAAGAGTAGCCACGTCAAGGGGAGATTACAGGTGATTTACTGCGGTCTCGCACCATATGTTCTAAGGTTTCTGCTTTGCAGTTTCAAAGAGTGTTCCTGTTCTGATCCCATTTAGTGTCAGAACTTCATTTTCTACAGGATATGAATTGGAAAGCAGCCAAAAAAGAATAATATTCTTGACTACATTGGCTATTTTTGTCCAGATACAGATTGTAAAGAGAATAAATAAAGGAAAAATGAATGCATATCAAGAAGGGATTAAAAAAGAAAGCAAGTTATTTTGAATATGGAATTCTCCTCCTATTATCAGAAGCAAGAGCCTCTTGGGTTACTTTTTGAACATTTTTATTATTACAGGTTAGAGGTTTAGAAGTAGAAAGTTCTCCCATACCATTGCAGGGAAGTTATACATATTTCCTTGCCAGTTTTCTGAAATCAGATGTCTCTCACAGAGTTTTTAATATATTCATCATCTACGTTTCAAGAACAAAATTTTCTGAAAGTCATTGATAGAATTTTGCGGGTTTTTTTTCCTTTATGCAGTTACAGCTATTATGATATTATGATAATGGTGAGGTTATTTTACTAAGTGATGAGAATTTCCTGAAGCTTTCAGCAGGAGGAGGAGGTATTTTGAGAAAGCCAAATGATATTTTTAAATGTGTTTGCTCCTAAATTGACATCTTGGTTATAACTTATACCTAGCAGTACAAAATTTTAACATGCTTAGGAAAAAGTTGGCAAAGCTTTATTGCCACTCAGTACCAGATTTTTAAAAAATTATGGAAAGTAAATAAACAGTTAAGTGAAATTTCCAAGTTTCTTTTGCAGGTTAAAAACCACATGTCCCTTTCACAGCTATTTGTCACTTAATGGTTATAATGCCTGTAAAGCATGAAACTCGTTTGTGACAAAAACTGATTAATCTGCTTACTAAAGAAGTCCAGAAATGGGATTGAAGTATCTTATGGTTAATACAGTGTTCTGATCTTTTTTAAATTACGCACATTAATTTTTATTCAGTAAAGGACTTGAAGTATTGCACATGACTTTCTAAAAGAGAAACCTAAAATGACTTTGAAGGTAGGAAATCAGTAGCTCAGTATCATTTTTCAGTGATAGCAGAAAGTTTAATATGAGCATATTCTTTATGTTTTAGGAAGTAAATATATATAAAGGAGCTTTATAAACTGCAAATCACCATACAAAACTTAGATACTCTTAGTCAGCTATCAAGTAGTATGTGTCATCTGTAACCATTCATAGTCCATTTTAAATACTACTTTTCTTCTGTGTGTTTTGTAAGATTAAGCTGTAATTTGAGCCTCTTTTAGAAAATATTTAGCATGCCAACTAAATGGTTTTATGTACAACATTCCTCATAATCTGTATCGATATTAGATTGCTTTCCTTTCTTTGTTCCTTGATGCTTATAATTAGTCAATGTGTTATGAATATCTTCCCCTATTATGTTATTACCCTTAAAATTTGGGGGGGGAGGGGCATGTCCTGCCATTTTTCTTATGCGACTTTAGTGGTTTCAGTGGATGGGTTATTTAAGCATATTTGGGGATAACCAGGAATTAATGGTTGTATTCTAATAATAGTTTAGATTTCACATTAGCAGTTCATTGTTACTTAGACCTGTAAGATGCATGTTTTGTTTAAATGGGTGCAAATGCCATCCAGATGCATTTAAAGTATCTACTGGTAAGAAAACGGCCAATCAGCATACATGGTTAGGTAGTGACGTCATAGTGTTATTTAATATTTTAACCCAAGAGCAGTGTGCAAGCGTCTTGGTAGTAATCCACATGTTTTCCACCGTGGTTGTCCTATTTGGCCTGTCTTTGATCTGTATGCCTCTTTTAGCTGAATGCTGGTAAACGTCCTTTCTGACAGCCCTCTTTGCTCTTGCCTGCCATTATCTGCTGAAGTTCAGAAACCAGAACATCACTTCAAACAGGAGAGTTAGGGAGTAGCCAGTCAGAAGAGATTCCTGAGGCATGCTAAGTTCTGGCATAATCATTCAAAGATGTTTGGGCAGGGGAGTGGGGGTGGGTGAGGTGTATATGAATGCTGAGAGCTGTGGGGGTTGGCCTCTGGTCACTGGTAAATAAGTGAAGTCAGGTGCCAGAGAGTCTAGACACAGTGATTTCAGCCGTGAGTCTTGGTATCTGATACCCAACATGGGACTTGTCTGATTGAACACTGTTGCTTCTTCATTGCACAGGCCGAAGCCTTTTTGGTGCTTTCCTGTTAAATTAGTAAAAGATGACAATAGATATAGTTAAAATAGAACAAATCTCATTTTAATATTTCCTAGTTGTCAGCAATTGCACTCACTTTTGAAGTGCCATGGGTAGCAAGCAAATTAAACCTATAGTATTACCTGTAGAGTTTGAGCCCAATTATTTTAAAATTTGAATGCTACAATTAAAACTGAAGTGTTTCTCTTTCTCATTATAAAAAATTAATTCTATATCACAGTACATTCTACTTGAATTTATTCTTAATTTCCTTTGATTTTGCAGTGGTATTGAGCAATTTTTTTAAACATCCATTATTTTTTTAAATGGTTATCTTATTTCTGTATAAGATTTAACTTGGAAATTACTATTTATAAAATGCTTAACTTCTAAATAGATTACCTGCAACCCCATTTTTCAGAGTAGCTTCAAATACTTCCAATGGTTAAGTTGAAGTAAAAATTTTTATTAACAATAAATATTTGCTTTCCTTTGAAGAATTACTGAATGTAGCAGATTTTCATCCTTGTGAAGTTTCTTATTCTCAGTTAAAATAGAAAAAAAAATGTACATTTTGAATTACACTAAGAAAACCATACTAATTAATTAGAAGACTACCCTCTACATCTTTAATTAGTTATAAGTTTTATCACAAATTTTATTTATAATATAATTAACTGGCAGGTGATAGCGAGATTTAAGTACATATGCAATAAATAAGAATTATTTTGTTCTGCCACATGCTCCTTTTTTCCTTGAGCACTCTGCAGTGTTGATGATCTTTTATCAAGAACTTTCACTAGTCACATAATTTGTGATTGAAAAACTGCCCTCTAAGAAAGGGCATGACCACCACTCACCTGCTATCATTTTGTTGTTTTCAGCATACAGATCAATGCTTTTCTTGAACTTTTACTTAACAGTTTTAGTGCTACTGTGTTTTTAATTTTGATTTCCAGTTGTTCATTAGTAAGCAGTAGAATATGATTGAGTTTTGTATGTTAATTATTATCCTTTTTGAAACTCAGAAATCATCTGGAGCTAACATAAAGAGAAATTTTTAAAAGACATATCAGGATGGCGGTCTAAAATACATCTGGAAGGGGTCACTGTGTTAGATTCATGAAGGCATGTTATTCTAAAAAAGATATTACCCCAATATAAAAGAAATTTTAAGTGATAAATATTAGAATTCATTTCAACATGTTACTGGTAACTTAAGAAAAAACATTTATGTACTATATACTTAAGCTAATTTGGTGGTAGATCAGTGAGAGAAACTAGCTTCTTTAAGCAGTTTAACTCAGCACAAGACAGCTTCACTCCCCTTTTTTATAGCAGTATCATCATGACAAATCTAGATTACTGCTGAGTGGCAAATGTGGTCTACCCTTTCCTTCTTGCCTTTTTGAATACTACTTTTAAGGCTCTCACTAGCAGAGTTATTTTCTTACTAGCAGTGTTATTTTCTCTAATCATACCATGTCCAGATTCCTGGATCTGAACTATAGCTTTGTAGCTTTAGCTATCAACCATGTATGACAATCCTGAATCAGACCTGCAGTCCAGTCGGTTTATTTGAACTCAGTCCTGCAGTCATATCTCCCTACTACTGAAAACTAGCTATGTTAGATTTATTATGTGTGCAAATTAAGCTTAATATGTCTTAAAACAAAATCACTATCTTCTCTTGAATGTTTTCTTCTATAGTTTCCACCATGCATGTCATTGTTCAGTGCAGAAACCTGGGGAGTCTCTTACCCTTCTCCTTTTCTCACATGCAAATTGTTGTTACCTACTTCACAGCCCAGCCGGATCTGTCTTTTACTTTCTCAGGTTTGCCTTCCTTTTCCCGATCATTCTTATTTTATTTCAGTTCTGTTTCAGAAGAATTGTGTTCTTTTCTGTGTTATGTGATCTTTGCATAAAGAATTTTCTTTACATCTGTCACTGCAGTTGATATTTTATATTTGATACTGAGTAGCCAGTAGTTTTAAAATTTATTCAGTTATTTATAGTTGAAATCTTGCCAGTTTTATATATTATAATAGAGATCATATTACACTATTTCCATCATACAGTCTAAAACATTGTAATATACTGTTTCTGGTATTTGTTTTTGAGTAAAATATGACCTGTGCTTCTTACTAGTTAATGAAGATGCTCTTTGAATGTTCAGATGAACGAATCGACTTAGAACTCATTTCTTTCTGCATTAATCTTGCTGCTAACAAGAGGAATGTGCAACTTATCTGTGAAGGTTAGTGCTTTTGAGTTTCATAGGTTGTTTCATCAGGATACAGTGATTGGCATTTGTAAGCTTAGTACAAACATTATGGACGACAAAATGGTGATTCCTCAGAAATCTGAAAATAGGGCCAGTGTTGTGGTGCAGTGGCAACCCATATGGGCACCAGGTCAAGCCCTGGTCGCTCCACTTTTGATCCAGTTCGCTGCTGATGTGCCTGGGGTAGCAGCTGATGATGGTTCAAGTGTTTGGGCCCCTGCACCCTGATGGGAGACCTTGTGGAAGCTGGTACTCCTGGCTTCCATCTGGCTCATTCCTTGCAATGATGGGTTATCTTCCTTTATCCCTTTCCTTCTATAATGCTGTACTTCAAATAAATAAAAGCTAATGTTTAAAAAAAAATCTGAAAATTACTGTATGGCAGCCATCCTACTCCTGAAAATTTATTCAAACAAAATGAAGCCAGCATATGATAGAGTTATTTGTACTCCCGTGTTTATTGCAGCTCAGTGCACAATATCTAGGATGTGGAATCAACCCAAATTCCCATCAACTGATGATTATATAAAAGAAATGTGGTGTATACTCTATAGAGTACTACTAACCCATGAAAAATTCCTTTTTTTTGCAACAAAGCAAATGCAACTGGAAACCATTATGCTTAGCACAGTCAGTTCCATGAGACAAATATCATACAAATATCATGTATTTTCTCTGATATGCTGATACAGAATACACAAAAATATGTAACAATGAAACACTTTTTTATCATTTGGTTAGTTATTAGCCCTTTTCTATGCTCTTTTGTAAATGTGGTTTTTCTGCTTTTTACTATTTTAATATGTTTAGTAGTGCACTAGACCTATGATTATAAAGTAGACTGAGAAGTTATGTTTTTGCAAAGATTAAAGAAAATGAAAAAAGAAAGGAGGGGAATTGAGGGATAGAAAGAAAGAGATGGAAATATGGTTATCTTCTTAGGATTGTATCTATAAAAACTATTCTGTTTGTATTAGAAAAAATGAAAGTGTTAAAAAAGGAACAAAATAATAATCACAAGGTAGAATATATTTTAAAGCCTATTTTTCGATAGCTATAATCCTTAAATGCCAGAATATTCCTACATCATGAAGGAAGGCAATTATATCTTTAATCACATTTTATAAACCATAGTCTTTTAGCTTTAACTGAAAATTTTTACAGGTTTAATTTATTAATTTTTTTTTATTATTTTTTTTTATTGGAAAGGCAGATATACAGAGAGGAGAGACAGAGAGGAAGATCTTCCATCCGATGATTCACTCCCCAAGTGAGCGCAACGGGCCGATACTATGCCAATCCGAAGCCAGGAGCCTCTCCGGGTCTCCCACGCGGGTGCAGGGTCCCAAAGCTTTGGGCCGTCCTCGACTGCTTTCCCAGGCCACAGGCAGGGAGCTGGAAGGGAAGCGGGGCTGCCGGGATTAGAACCGACGCCCATATGGGTTCCCGGGCATGCAAGGCGAGGACTTAACCACTTGCGCCACCGCGCCGGGCCCTAATTTATTAATTTTAAAGGCAGAGAGAGAGAGAAGCACAGAGAGCAAGAAAGAAATTGTCCATCCACTGGTTCACTACTCAAATAGCCACAATGACCAGGGCTGGGCTAGGCAGAAGCCAGAAACCAAGAGCTGTCTTTTGGGTCTTCCCCATGAATGTAGGACACAAGCAGGTGAACCATCCTTTGCCGCTTTCTTGTCACATTGGCAGGGAGCTGGGTCAACACGCAGAACAGCAACAACTCAAAAGAGCACCCGTGTGGCTTGTCAGCACTACAGGTGGCAGCCTAACTAGCTGCATACAGGTTTGTCTGTTGCAAAGGAGTGATAACACAGACATTCTGGGTTATTGTTGCCATATTGTCTTCATAGAAGGACCTGTGTGCGCCCCATTGTGACCCTGGGTTGATATCGGGTGGCCGTTCTCCTTCCTCGGGTACTGGGATGGTCGGCTAAGTAGAGTTTCTCCCCTCACCTCCCCCATTCTCCCAGAAAGGAGAAGAAATAGAAAGTTTGGGATAAAAGAATCCCTTGCAATGGTGGTATTTCAGACTTTACTAAGTAACTAGTTTTTTTCCTTATTTGAAAGGTAAGTAATACATGTTCATTGTAAATAATCATAATTAGATTATAAATAATGTACAAATAAGGAAAGGGGAAAAAACTTAAAACTTTATTCCTGCCCTCCAAAGAGAACATAGGCAAAATTGTGACATAAACCTTATTTGTGTATGTTGAAATAAAGATGCGATTCTTCTCTCTACATATTGTGAGGTATGTTAACATCACTTCATGTGAGTGAGCACTTTTCTTTTTTTTTTTTTTTTTATTGTTGCTTACATTATATTATGTAGTACAGTTTTTTTTTTTTTATTGTTGCTTACACTGTATTATGTAGTACAGTTTTATAGGCGCTGGGGATTCCCCCCACCCCTCCCCATATCCCTCCCCCCATGGTGGATTCCTCCACCTTGCTGCATAACCATAGTTCAAGTTCAGTTGAGATTCATTGCTTGCAAACACATGCCTAGCATAAAGTTCAGCGTCTTATTGTCCAGATAAGTTCAGTGGCCTCTTGGGGAGACCTTCTATGGTCTGAAGATAGGTCTAACAGAGTAAAGATCCAGTCAGTTAAAAGCCCCAACAAGGCCTCAGTATCATTATACAACATTATGGAATTAATTGACATAGTATTGGGTAAACAATATGTTAAAAATAATGCAAGTTCCATTCTTCGAAACATCTGGGTTGAGACAGTATCAATGACAGGTTCAAAAAATAACAAACAACCAAACAAAAAATTACAGGTTAAATCAAGGCAAACATGTGGTATCTAATCTTTTGGGATTCACTCATTTCCCTTAGCATTATAGTTTCCAGTTGTGCCCATTTAGCCACAAAGAACTGCATTTTGTTTTTTTTAATAGCTGAGTAGTATTCCATGGAGTAGATGAACCAAAGCTTTCTTATCCAATCTTCTGCTGATGGGCATTTCGGTTGCTTCCATGTTTTCGCAATTACTGATTGTGCTGCAATGAACATAGGGATGCATGTTGGTTTGTCGTAAAACAGGTGTTTTGGATATATTCCTAGGAGTGCTATTGCTGGGTCATATGGTATGCAGATTTTGAGTTGTTTGAGTGTTCTCCAGACTGATTTCCATAAAGGCTGTACCAATTTGCAGCTCCACCAGCAGTGGAGTAGGGTTCCCTTTTCCCCGCATCCTCGCCAGCAAGCGTCGTTGGTGTTCTTGTTTATGTGGGCCAATCTTACTGGTGTTAGGTGGTACCTCATCGATGTTTTAATTTGGATTTCCCTTATTGCTAGGGAGCTGGAACATTTTTTCATATGTTTGTTTGCCATTTGGACTTGTTCCTTTGTGAAATGTTTGCCCATTTCCCGTGCCCATTTCTTGAGTGGCTTGTTTGTTTTGGTTTTTTGGTTGTTTTGAAGTTCTTTGCATATCCTGGAAATTAGCCCCCTATCGTCTATATCGTGTGCAAAGATCTTCTCCCACTCTGTGGGTTGCTTTTTTACTTTGTTGATGAGTGAGCACTTTTCTGAAGCAGTTATTAGTAGTAGCTGTGACATTCTCCATTAAAGAATTTTGCCTATTTTGGAGACTTAATTTGTTACTACTTATTGTCTGTTACAAGCAGAGTTAGTCTTTCCCTGAAACTTTATATATTTCCATGTTTACATTTTTAGGATGTAGTTTTAAAAGTACAGTTTTTCTAGGTTACAGTGGATATGTCAGGTATAAAAAAAGTGATTCTGTTATACAAAGTTACAGAAACAGATAAAACTAACCTATAAGAAAAAAAAAAGGAAGAAGAAAGGGAAAAGAAGAAACTGGTTTTATGTAGGTAATAGGATTGACTGGGGGGGAGCACAAGGGAACTTAGCAAAGTGAGTGGAAATAATACAGTATGTTGACATGTGAACACACTTATCTAAATTCATCAGATTCTGCACTTAAAATTTATGCTTTTATGGGTTATAAAGTGGTTTGCTCTGTTTTAAGAAGTTGATGAAAATTATTATTATATTACTTTAACCTTCATTGGGGCAATTTTCTGTTTTGTGTCAGGAAATGGGCTAAAGATGCTTATGAAGAGGGCTCTGAAGTTCAAAGATCCATTACTGATGAAAATGATTAGAAACATTTCCCAGCATGATGGACCAACTAAAAATTTGTTCATTGTAAGTATAGCTCATTGGCTTTCTGTCTGTCCGAATAGAGATTTAAGTTTTGCTGCCAGCACAGTGACATAACAGTTTGATCCTCCAGCTGCAGTGCCAGCGTGTCATATAGGCACTGGATTGTGTCCCAGCTGTTCCACTTTCAGATCCAGCCTCGTACCTATGGCCTGAAAGCAGCAAAGAGTGGTCCAAGTCCTTGGGTCCCTGCACCCACTGGAGGCCCTAAAGAAGCTCCTAGCTCCCAGCTTCAAACCTGCCCAGCTCTGGCCATTGTCATCATTTTGAGAGTGAATCAGCAGATGGAAGATCTCTCCCTTTTGTCTCTTCCTTTTTCTCTGAGTCTCTGATTTTCCAAGTAAAATGAACACATCTTTTTAAAAAGGAATTTAAGTTTTAAATTGCTACATTCGGAAAAGCAGCCTTTTTGGGTCTCTTACCAACTGTTAATTCTTGAACACATTTGACTCATAGCTGTGAACTTCCTTCCTATTGCAAGACTTAGATATCTCAGCCACGTTTAGTGTTGCTATTGTTCTTCTGTGATTCTTATCCTAACTCTACACCCCAAGAGCCATTTTGCCTTAAACCAGCTCATGCAAAGGCTCTGTTAGCAGTTTGATAACAGATTATCAAAACAAGATAATCACATTTGATATTTGATTTTTTTTCCTAGGGTTTAGATTATCGCATTGGTTCTTACATATAATATTTTACGTTTATTTGTTTTATTCAGGATTATGTTGGGGACCTTGCAGCCCAAATCTCTAATGATGAAGAGGAGGAGTTTGTGATTGAATGTTTGGGAACTCTTGCAAATTTGACCATTCCAGACTTAGACTGGGAATTGGTTCTTAAGGAGTACAAATTGGTTCCATATCTCAAGGATAAACTAAAACCAGGTCTGTGCTGAGTATTTTACTTTTACGCAATTACTACATCGTTTGTCTCTTGTGGATACGGCTGCTAAGACTATTTTGTGTTTATCATACCTAGGCAAAACATTTTCTTCCCACGATTGTGTTCTCCCACAGATTGGTCACTGTGACTCTTTTTGCTTCTGTTTTTCCTTAATATTGTTTTCTTAATATTAATTTATTTTCACTATCCTGTCTTTCTTGCTTTTAAAATTTTTAAGAATATTACCTTTTGGGCCCAGTATAGTGGCCTAGCAGCTGAAGTCCTTGCCTTGCACATGCCAAGGTCTCATATGGGCACCAGGTCCTGTCCTGGCGGCCCCACTTCCCATCCAGCTCCCTACTTGTAGCCTGGGAAAGCAGTGGAGGGCAGTCCATGGCCTTAGGACCCTGCACCCACATGAGAGACCTAGAAGAAGCTCCTGGCTTCTGACTTCAGATTTGCTCAGCTCTAGCCATTGCAGCCACTTGGGGAGTAAATCAGCAGATAGAACATCCTCTCTATATCTCCTCTTCTCTTTATATCTGACTTTCCAATAAAAAATAAATAAATCTTTAAAAAAGTTTACTTTATTTAAATTACCAAATAACATCTCCTCTTCTATACATACAACCATACAAACAAAATTATTTGAGCCATTGAAAATTAATCATATTTTTCTGTATCTACATTGGTATCCATTTGCTTTTTCAAGAATTACTTTCACTTTCCTCTACTGCTATTCAATAGCATAAAATCTCATGAATGAAAATGTAAAGTTGGAAAAAAACAAATCTCCTAAGTATGTCAAGAATTCATAGGAATAATTTAATAGCCTTCATGATCATTTCTGCATACTCAAACTTTGGTAATACGTATCAATTTGAAGCATGACCGTTTCCTGACAGCTTTCCATGGTTTGACTTTCCTAGGAGCTGCAGAGGATGATCTTGTTTTAGAAGTGGTTATAATGATTGGGACTGTGTCTATGGATGACTCTTGTGCAGCATTGCTGGCCAAATCTGGGATAATCCCTGCCCTCATCGAATTACTTAATGGTAATTTACTTTATTTTCATGTTGGTATGTAAAAGGGTTTGCTTATATTCTTTTACTATAAAATATTGATTCTGCACTTGTGAATACTTCCTGTATCTTTTATACTATGTGTGTGTGTGCATTGTGTATTAATTATAATAGAACTTAAGTATAACACACAAATATGCAAGGCTCAGTACATTTTGTTTTCTTTTTTCTTTCCATTTTTATGGACTTATTATTTTTTATGATACAATTCCATAGGCTCTGGGATTTCCCTTACTCCCTCTCCAAGTCCCCCACCCCCACTGATTTCCCCTATTTTATTACAATAGTGTAGTCCTTCATAAGCAGTCATAAGTCCATTGTTCTGCTAATAAAGTGTTCCCTGACAAGGCTCAGTCAGTTTTCAAAGTGAGCTCACCTATGTTATTATTACCCACATAAAGAAATAAAACACGACCATCATCTTAAAAGTGTATCCCTTTCCCATCTTCAAATGTGCTTTTCTCAATTTTGAACTTTACATGCATGAAATATTATTAATTTTTCCTACATTATATTTTGAGAGTCATCTCCTTAGAATACAGAAATGTATTCATTTTCATTATTATATATTATACAAATGTAGAACTATTTATTCTTTCTACTATTGATTGATTATACAGTTAAGTTTTAGGAGGAGGAGGAGAAAACTTACTTTAAATAGAACCCCAGTTAACATCCTTAAACCTCTCATTTGGTGAACATATGTACTCATTTGTGTTAGACATGTACCTAGGATTAGAATTACTGGGACAGTATTTGCCTGTGTTTGGTTTCTGTAAATGTTGTCAGTCTGTTTTGCCAAATGTTGGTCCCAGTACAATGTAGAAGCAAATGTTGATATCTGGATCACCAGCAACCCTGCGGATTGTCAGCTCCTTTCCTTGCAGCCTTTCTGTAGTGGCACCTTCCTGTACTTTGTTTTTGCATTTTCCCTAATGTCTAAAATGTCAAGCACGTGTTTGTATTTAGTGACCATTTAGGTATGGCCATTAAAATCAAGTGTCTATTTCAAACTTTGCATTTTTTTATCTTTTGAGGTTTTTTTTTATTTTATTTTTAAGTTCTCTAATGTATTGAACTTTAGTCATCTGAAGATAAGAAAACAGTATTTAAAGTACTCCTTCTCAGAACTGTATTATGTATGCATTTTCTTTGGCACACCCATGTCACAGCCGTACACTTTCAGATTAACAACAATGAAAGAGAGGTTAGGTAATAGGGAATGAAGGTAAAGGCATCGTACTTAACAGAGCAGGAATAGAAACTAAGTTGAAGCAAAAAGATTTCTGTTCGTGCTGCTTCAGTCAAGGGAGCTGAGACAGTGAGCCAGCAGAGCCGGTACACAGTGCTGTTATATTTCTATGTCATCCAACATGACATTACCACAGTCCCAGAGACTATATAATATTCTCATTAAGAAATATATAAATTCTCAAAACTAAAACGTTGTCGAATGAGGAAATACTATACCAAGCTAGTAATGAGAATAATGGGAAGATTTTAATTGGAAAATAATCTTGCTGGGGCTAGCGTGATGACATAACTGCTAACCCTTCCCTTACAAATGCCGGCATCCCATAGGAGCACCAGTTATTGGCCAGCGACTCCTATTTCAATCCAGCTCCCCACTTGTGATCTCAGAAGCAGTCAGGACAGCCCAAAGCTTTGGGGCCCTGTACCCAGGTAGACACGGAAGAAGCTCCTGGCTCCTGGCTTCAGATTGGTTGAGCTCTGGTCATTTTGGCCGTTTAGAGAGTGAACCAGTGGATGGAAGATGTGTCACACTATAAATCTGCCTTTTAAAAATAAACAAACCTTAAAATGGAAAGAAAGAAAATAACCTTTGAATTGAAATTTAATTCTGGGAGCAGTGCAAATTCCTCCAGTTTCTTAGTGGACATGGTACCATAATCTTTCCTAAAAGGAAATTACCTCCTGAAGTTTTTCAATGTATTTGTTAGTTTTATTCAGTCTGCTGTATTTGGCTATGCAGGTTTCCCATTAACACTTACTGAAAAGACTCTCCTTTCTCCAGCGTGTGTTTGTCAAGAGTCTGTTAGCTGTGGATGTGTGGGTTCAGTACTAGAATCTATCCTATTCCATCACTGTTCTGTTCTGTTTTTGTGCTGATACCATAAAAAACTTTGTTAGTGTAGCTCTGTGTTATGCATTGGCATCTGATGTAGTGATGTGGTGATGCCAACAGCTTTGTCTTTTTTGCTCAAAACTGCTTTGGTTGTTTAGGTAGTTGGTGCTTCCATATGAATTTTAGGAGTTTTTCCCTACTTTTTAGATGAGTGTCATTGGTATTTTGGTGGGAATTATAATAAATGTGTAAAAAAAAAATTTATAATAATGAAAAATAAATCAGTTCAAAATGGGCGAAACTAAGGTATAAAAATTGAATTTTATAAAACTGTTAAGACAAAACATAGAAGAAATACATTAATACATTCATTCAGGCAACAACTTTTTGCATAAGAAATCAAGAGTACAGGGCAAGAAATGGAATTATGTCAAAGTAAGAAGCTACTGCACTGGAAAGAAAATAACCAATAAAATTAACAGCCAGCCAACAGAATGGAGTAAATATTTGCAAACTCTTCATCAGACGAAGGATTCTGTCGAGGCTGTATCAGGACTATGGGGCCAGTATTGTGGCCTAGCAGTTAGGCTAACACTGGCACCAGCATCCTGGATCGGCACTGGCTTTATCCCTGGTTGCTCCACTTCCAGTCCAGTGCCTTGCAAATTTGTACCAGGAAAAACAGAGGGAAATGGCACCAGCATTTGAATCCTGCCATCCAAGTGGGAGACCTAAAAGGTGTTGACAGAACCTAGCCTTGGCCTTGCTTAGTCCCAGCTGGTGTAACGGGGGAGTGAGCCAGTGGACAGAAGACTCACTCTCTATCTCTCTCTCTCTTTCTTTCTCCTTCCTCCCTCACTCGTTTCCTCCCTTCCTGCTTTTCCACTACCCTTTGGTCACTCTGCCTGTCATAACAACAAATCTTTTATTAATCAAAAACACTTGACATAAACCCAAGCAATATAATTAGTAAGCGGACAAGAAGAAATGCAGATGACCAATAGACACGCATAAAAATGATCAAAATCAGGAGTCATCAAGGAAATGCAAATCCATACCACAGTAAAGTATTATTTCACTCCAGTTTAAATGACTGTTATCAAAAAGCTAAAAAAAAAAAAACAGATGGCAAAATTAAACAAGCATGTGAAAAGGGAAATTTAATGCACTGTTGATTTGAATATGAATTCATGTAATCATTGTAGAAAATTACCTGGAGATTTGTTAAGAAGCTAAAATCTTTCTACCAGTTGAGCCAGTCATTCCAATTCCGGGTACATATACCCAGAGGAAATAAAATCAGCAAATCAGATACAATGCACTCATGTTTAATGCAGCACTACTTAAAACATGCAGGAGATGGAAACAGCCTAGGTATCTAGTGTTGAATGCAAAAGCAAGTAAAATATGATATGTAATATATGTTGAAATATTATTCAGCCATAAAAAGGAAGTTCTAAGTTTGCAACAAGATAGAATGTAATATGATTTTGTAGCAAAATAACTAATACAGAAAGATACACCTACTGACTGTTCTCTGAGATCTAGAAATTTTAAAAAGCTATGTTAAGGGCCAGCATGGTTAATCCTATGTTCTGTGGCACAAGTATCTTGTATGGGTACCAGTTTATGTCCTGACTGCTCTACTTCTGATCCAGCTTTCCACTTAGCTTAAGAAAGCAGCAATGGGTGACCCAAGTCTTTGGACCCTGCAGCCATGTGAGAGACCCAGAAGCACCTGGCTTTTGGCTTTGGACCAGCGCAGCTTGGCCATTGCAGCCATTTGGGGAGTGAACCAGCTGATGGAAGACCTTCTCTGTCATTTCTTCTGTCTCTGTGAAAGCTGCCTTTCAAATAAAATATAAATATTTGTGGAAAAAAAAGAATGATATTACCTTAAACTTAGTGATTAAAAGAGACCACAAAAGGTGTAGCATGGGAGATGACATAAAAGGTACTAAAATAGATTTAAAAGAAATCTGTTATTTTTAGTGTCCCATACCATGATGTGGCAGCTATAATTCCCAATAATGTATTGTAAATTGTATTGAAAAAAGCTGGGTGAGAGGAGCTCATAGTCTCCAAACACAGGGAAAGGAAAGGGATGTAGGGATGTTGCCAGCATGGTTTGAAGTATTGTACTTCATCCCATAGAGCTGTGTGGTTATTACATGTTAATCAGTAATTTCAAAACGAAACTGAAAAGAAAAGAAATAAATAAACAAAATTTTAGCCTGGTGCAACTCTGGCAAGTTGATGAAAGAAATCCTTTAGGAAAGGTGGGACTTTAAGAGGCCAGAGTTTTTTCCACAGAACTAAATGGATGGTCTGTTGACCTAGAAGTCTAACATGCCAATAATTAATAGCAAAATACACTGTTAGTGACCAAATTTCATAACCAGTACTTAAAATTACATTCTGTAAGTAATTGTATTCTTGGCATTATACATTCATCAGTGGACGTCAGCTGGTCAGATATATTATTCTTAGCTTTAATTACATATACTCCTTTTACAATATAATTACTTAGATTGGAGTAAAATTGTTATTTTTTAAATATTTGCTTTTATTTTAATAGCGGATTTACATAGAAGAGAACAGAGAAAGAGAGATGTGTTGATTGACTCCCCTTTGGAACAATGACCAGAGCTGGGCCTGCCCAAAGCCTGAAGTCTTGAGCTTTTTCTGGGTCTCTCACGTGGATCTGGGAGCCCGAGGACGTGGGTAGTCTTTTGCTGCTTTCCCAGACACGTTATCAGGGACCTGGATTGGAAGTGAGCAGCTGGGACTGGAACACCTGTATGGAATGCTGGCACAGCAGGCAGAGGCTTAAGCTAGTACACCACGTCACTGGCCCAAAAATGCTGCTTGTTTTATGCTTTCTGTAAAATTTTTAAAAAGATTTTATTTGTTTGTTTATTTGAAAGTCAGACTTAACAGAGAAGAAGAGACAGAGACCTGCAATCTGCTGGTTCACTCCTCAGTTAGTGTCAACAGCTGGGGCTGGGCAACATACGCCTAGGTGCCAGCTGCTTTATCCATGTCAACCACGTGGGAGGTAGACTTGAGTCATCTTCCACTACCAGAGAGAGATGAATCAGAAGTGGAGCAGCCTGGTCTCGAACCAGCAACCATATGGTTTATTTGCTGCAACACAAATGCCAATCCCATAGTTTTCTTTTTGTGTTTCATTCCATTCAATCAAATGCAATGCCTTCTTATAAAAGTACAATTTCTGTCAAAAACTTAAAACTTGAAAGATGGTTCTGTAAGTATGTAAGATCAACAAATCAGGGCCTGGGTGCAATGTCTCCATTGGCTATTCTTCACCTTGCAAATGGTAGGATCCCATATGGACACTAGTTTGTGTCCTGGCTGCTCCACTTCCCATCAAAGCTTCCTGCAAATGGTAAGAAGCTCCTGGCTTTGAATCAGCTCAGTTCTGGCCATTGCAGCCATTTCGGAATTGAGCTAGCAGATGGAAGATCTTTCTCTCCGTGTTTCCTTCTCTCTCTAAATCTGCCTTTACAATAAAAATAAATCTTCCTTAAAAAAAAAAAATCAACAGATCAACGTTTGAAAAACAAAACAGAACCAGATTTATTTCACAAATTAGAACTTTCTGAAAAATTCTAATGTAAACAAAACAAAGTGATGCTAAGTGTGACTGTTTTACATTAGGATCATAGAAGTTACTGAATGTCAGCAGTGTTTCTATCTATTGATGAAAGTGAATACATATGGATACTGTTTCTGTTCTACCCCAGTCTTGTCCCTCTGTTCTTCCTGGGTTACTACCTAAGCTTTCCATGAAGGTTTGTTGTTGTTGTTGTTGTTGTTGTTTTAATTTCTAGCTAGTAACACATAATGTTCTTTTTTCAGGCTTCCCATTTTTCTTTGTATTTCAATGTAACACAACAATAATCTTTATGAACTTTCCACACTGATTAAGGTTGTGAATTGAGACACTGATGGCGTGTTACCTGCCTCTCAACTGCTTTTTGTACTTTACTTAACCTCCTTGTCACTTTTAGTTTTCCCCGCTTCTCCACGACACACGCCTCAGTGTTCTCCAATTTGGTATATAAACATAGTATTCTTTCATTTGAAATTGTGTTTCCTTTCATTTAGCTCAGCAAGAAGATGATGAATTTGTGTGTCAGATAATTTATGTGTTCTACCAGATGGTTTTTCACCAAGCAACCAGAGATGTTATAATCAAGGAAACTCGTATCCTTTCAGTATTTATGTTGCGATAAGGACATTTCATGTACTCTGAAAAGATATCTTGGTTTATTGTCTTGCAAGTGTGGAAATTATGCAAAAAAAAAACCTGAAAATGAATTTAGAAGTAAATTGTTTTCCATAAAACTATTGACCCCAATTCAACATAAGGATACAAAGAGAATAATCCATTAAGTCAGGTTGTGATTCAAAGAAACTTATTAACAAGCTTATCAGTAATCTCTGACATAGCGTAAGCATGGGATGCTCTTAGGCCTGTTCTTGATCCTCTTGTCTTTTTTTACGAAGGAATGGACATCAGTCCCCATGACTGCAACTACCAACTATAGGCTACATATGTTATATCTTCAAAAGTCTCTCTCCTGAAGCTCAGGCATTTGTTGATTATCCATGTTCTGTGTTACTTTCTGTTTAGTAGCATAATTTCACCTCACTTTCATAATATTTTTATAATATAACAAAGTCATTATTTTTACTTGTTGGTTTTAAAGGTTGCTTATTTAAAATTTACAACAGGATTTTTTTATTTACGCATATTATTTTAGCCTTTACATATCTGAAATAATTTTTACCTTTTTTTCAGTTATTTCCTGGTTTATTTTATCTCTGTGGGTTTTCTAGTTCTCATTTGTGTGGTTTGCTCATATATATTATGTCCTTAAGTTCTTTTAGTCTTTTGAAACTAAATTATAGATTTCTGTTATGGGGAAGTGTGTTACCATGTTTTCCCTTTTTCTTCTTCTTCTAATAACCATATGTGAGATTTGACTGTGATTCTTTTCTGCTGTTTATTTTTGTGCAAAATGATTTTTCTTCAACTTTTACAAAGGCAAAATAGAGCAAGAGAGCTTTTGTACTTATACAACTCTAGAGCGCCCTCTTCAGTTATTTTCATATTTTCAAGAAAATGGCATTGGTACTTTTTAAAGACCTACTGTTTTTTATTTGTATTTAAATGTCTCTTATCTTGTTTCAATGACCTTATTTTAAAATGTAGAGTTAAATTTCAATCTAGAAATTGAAGTTAGAGAAATCTGGAAATTTCTAATGTAATTGAATATCTACCATCTACACTGAAATTTTTTATCTTTAACTGTTTTCATTCAGAGGCTCCAGCATATCTCATAGATCTGATGCATGATAAAAATAATGAAATCAGAAAGGTCTGCGATAATACATTAGATATTATAGCGGTAAGTAATTATAATTTCAACATAAATTGTAGTAGATTTCATTTTGGGAATTAAAAGTTATAAACTTATTTTAAGCTATCATTGACTATAAATGTAACTTTATGTTTTAGGACTGTTCAGGAAAGACAATAATACTAAATTTATTTTCTAGACATTAAATCCATTGGTTTTCAAGTTTCAACCAGAAACTCCTCAAGGATTGTACATATTCAGGCTGATCTACCTCTCACCTCTCTGTAGGAACAGTGACTGTGGTTATAGGTTTTCAGAATGCATACAGTCAGCTTTGCGGTTTAACAGTTAAACATAAATTGTGTCATTCACTTTTAGATACTTGGTAATGTTTGGCAGATTTCTAGATTTATAAGTTGCATTTGGGTAATGGGAAATATAGCATTCATGACTTAAAAGGTTTTTTTAAAAATCCTTGAGTAGAGGGATATTAAAGTGGATAATCTAAGGAACTTGCTAACGCTGGTAACTTCTCTGCACAAATTACGCTGCCCACCATCACTTCTGCTTGTAGGCCTTCGACTGGGGTGCGCTAGATGCTGGCTTACTTTGAATATTGATTTTCCTGTGCTACATACTTTGCTTCCTTCATTGAATTGGATTGATTCACCTTTTAAAATGTTTCTTCCTTATAACCTACTCAGTAATTTCACACTAACTTAGATCAGGTGTTTGGCCTAGTTATGATGCCTTTTGCATAGCCAGCATCCAATGAGCAACTGAGTTTGAGTCCCCACTCCACTGCTCCTCTCATTTTCCTACTGTTGTGTACCCTGAGAGGCAGCAGATGATGACTGATGTTGTTGGGTCCCTGCTACACACATGAGAAACCTGGAGTACTGCTTCCTAGATTCAACTGAAACCTTATTCCTAGTTTAGAACTTAATGGTAGCATTGACATGTGAGCTTTGCTCCTTAAGGATAGAGGAATTGTATTATGAAATCCTTGTTCTCCCAAACTATTTTATACATATTGGCATCTGGTCACAGAGCTTTTGAACACAAAATAATACTCTTAGAGAATAACATCATGGCTATGTACTCTTTTGTAATAGATCACTGTGTTATATGAGGAATACATTATTAGAATAAGAAACTTCATAAAGTACTATATGTTTTTAATCTACCTTATTTTGATGAAAGACATATGTGAGATGATAGGTGTAGGTTTACTTAGTAAGTGTCTTTAGCTTATAGTCAAAGCTAATGATGATTCAAAAAATATGGCCAATTCTTATAAAAGAATATTAAATATTAAAGCTGAGTTGGGCATATATATTATGTATATTACATATTACACATATATTATTTTATAATATTTAATATTATTTTAAGGAAGCAGTGGTAGATCTTTCATCCCCTGGTTCCTCCCCAAAATGCGAGGCCTGTCCAAAGCTAGAAAAACCTAAAACTCATCCTCAGTCTCCCGGATGGCTGGCAGGGATCCATGTAGCCTAGCTGTCTGCTGCCAGCCAAAGTGCACAGTAATAGGAAACTGCAGCAAAGTAAAGGATCTGGGACTCAGACAATGCATTTTAACATGGTATACATTCTAAGCAACAGCTGCGCACCAAACACCTGCCCTCAAGTTTCTTCTTAAACTTGAGTTGTTCCTATCCTGTGTCTCCACTCTCCAGTCAAGGGTGGTCCAAAGCCTTGGGACCTTGTTCCTGCATAGGAGACTCAAAGTGGCTCTTGGCATTTGGCTTCGAATCAGCTCAGCGCCAGCCGTTGTGCCTGCTTGGGGAGTGAATCAGTAGACAGAAGATCTTCCTCTCTGTCTCTCTTCCTCTCTCTATCTAACTGTCAAATAAAAATAAAATAAATCTTTTTTTTTAAATCTTCTCTTTCTAGAACCATATATTTTTAATGCATTTTGTTTCATTTCTTCATTTGCCCCACCCCACTTGCAACCTTTGCTAATTCTTGCTGCTCTGTTGCTATATTGTGATACTAAAGTAACCCTGCCCTACATTTCTTTAATTTTACATTGCTGATTAAACAATCTTTGGAGGCTTCCACATCCTACAATGAATTTTATAAGGAATACTTTGGATATTATACCAAGTAATTTCTGGATGATTTCATGCTTCAGGAAACTTTAGCCTAAAAAAGTACTTAGAGGGCCCGGCGTGGTGGCGCAAGTGGTTAAGTCCTCGCCTTGCACGCCCGGGATCCCATATGGGCGCCGGTTCTAATCCCGGCAGCCCCGCTTCCCTTCCAGCTCCCTGCCTGTGGCCTGGGAAAGCAGTCGAGGACGGCCCAAAGCTTTGGGAACCTGCACCCGCGTGGGAGACCCGGAAGAGGCTCCTGGCTTTGGATCGGCATAGTATCGGCCCGTTGCGGCTCACTTGGGGAGTGAATCATCGGACGGAAGATCTTCCTCTCTGTCTCTCCTCTCTGTATATCTGCCTTTCCAATAAAAAATAATAAACATAAATCTTTAAAAAAAAAAAGTACTTAGAAAATCTAAGTTTAACAGTCCCAGTTTCTAGAAGAAACATCCCACCCTTCTAGTGGAAGACTTATTTCCTCACCTTTCCATGCATGTTTCTGAAAGACAGGAAGCATCTATATCAATTTTAGCTTGACAGTAGGGAATTGTCATATATAGCCAAATATTTTTCTCCGCCTCTTTGTTCATTCAGTTTCTTGTCTTAGATACAGTCATTTGTATTACTAAAGTAGCAGCTTGACCTTATTTAACAGTACATCTGGACACTATTTTCAATTATAATTCTGCCTGCTAAATCAAGCAAATTCTATAGCTATTGAAGATCTATTTTACAACAGTTATTTTAAAGATGATAGAAATATGTATGTATATATAAAGCACCTATCACATGATGAATATTCAATGTTTTTGTTTAAGCTAGACCATAATTTAAATTCAAGTCTAGTCATCAAAAGATTTATATATCAAAAAAATATTTTAACATTTACCTTCCTTGTGACAATTAAATATCTGTATTACTTTCTTATTATTTTAATTTTTAAAAATAACATTGGAAGATTATCCATTCATCATTTGAAATTTAACTGTTAGAAGTTATTTAGAAATGTATTTTTGCCAGATATATTACAGTTCGGTTTATATTGGAAGTTGTCCTGCAAAGTGGCTAGATTTAGCACTTTAAACTTCATGTTGTACCCACTAATTGCACAAGACAATTAACTGAGGGACCTGTATTAGGACCTTTAAATAGGAAGTAGGAAGGTCTAACAGTTTGGAAAGCTTTATCTGTTAAATAGTCAGAGTCCATGATGACTTACTTGGATTTGGAATCAATTTATAAATTGTCAGACAAAAATTATACTCCTTTGTCTTGCTGAGCATCATAATGTGGAGACACTAGAAGTGTGAACCATTTATTTCATCCATGTGTGGAGACGGTTTCTCAGTTCGTCTTGGTAATAGCTGCCAATCTCTGATGCTTTAAGCCTAGGCTTTGTTATAGGTCACACCTAGGGGTGCTAATTGCTTGTCCTGAACTCTCTTAAAGAGTGAAACAAGAAGAAATTGACTTAACTTGAAGCAAAAGACACTTTGATCAGACTCGACAAATACAGTAAATTCTAGAAAAAGACTAACAAAGGAGAGTAGTCTTTGTCTAAATGGTACAGTAATGGTTAAGTGAACATTTTAAATGGTTCCCAAAAAACCTGCATAGGGACTTAGGCAAAGGACTTCTTAAGACTATTTATGTATCTAGCTTTTGATTTCCTATTATTGTCAGAATCACTATACTGGACAATAAAAATCTAAATTTGACTGAAAGAGTGGGAATCTGTGTCTCTCAAGGCCACTTTGTTTAAGCGCTGCTTTGCTACTCAAGACACTACATAATATCAAGAAAAATTACATAGCTTATAGCTCTCAGGGGGAAATATAGGCCTCTTAAGTAAAGAACCTGTCCCCCAAATTATATATGTATTATACTAGTGATTATATCCTTAACACCGTTAGTGGTAGTATTCTGGTATTAAGTGTGATTATGTAACAATAATTACATCATACAGCCCTCGTGTCCTCATCAGCTAGTTGCTTTGCAGCTTGATGAGGCTGAAAACGGAGTGTGAATACAGAGAAGAGCAGGGAGGCAGATGGAGAACCCTAGCTACTTAGTCTTCCAAAGCAATAACAAGCAAGTTGACCATAGCCTTTTCCTTCTAAACCTTGGGAATCACGAAAGGAAAAATTATACATCTAAGCTAAAGAGCATCTAAAAACCCAATTATATTTTTATTCTTTAGTATTCCCTCACCTTCATGTAAAATATGTGAGCTCAAAAGAAAATTTTCTCCCTTATGGATAAACATATTCCTCCATTGACATATCTGAGTTACCAAACATTAAGTACATCTTTATAAAGCATATACGATGCGTAGAACACCAAGACAGACAGTAGGAATACAACACTTGACACAAAGCCCCTAGAATAAGAGTTTACCATCTACACTATTGAAAACGTATCTTGAGAACACGAGGTTTCTCTTGTCTAAATATAAAGACTGGTGTTCCAGGAGCAATACTATTGTAAATTTTTCTGTGTTAGTGACACATTATTTGCAGATGTGTATGGAAACAGAAATACAAATGTTTTCTCTGATGAAATTGATATCTCTTGTCTTTCTCTTCTGAGACAGGCAAGTGTTTCATTGGTGCAGTGACTGATTTGAATGAGATTTTGAAACAAAATGAGATTTTGAAACAAGATTTTGAATTGCAGTTCTTGTTTTATGCTAACTCACATGGGAATCATGTTTTGATAAATTTTAATTAATGCCTAGCCCTGGTACTTTAACATTGGAAAATAAGGTATTGTCTTCCCCTAATGTCATATAAAGATTGTCATTAAGACTTGTCTGTTAACATGAGATAAATCCTCAAAGGTCATGGTCCTCATTAAAATAGCAGGAAAGGGTCGCAAGACCAAAAAAAAAAAAAAAAAAAATCTGGATATATTAATGCTATTGCCAGCCAAGAA